ACCTTATGTCAAAAATGATGGATGATGACCTTTGACCTTATGTCAAAAATGATTGATTATGACCTATGACCTTAGGTCAAAAATGATTGATGGGTTATGACGTATATGACATGACCTTATGACTTTTGAATTATGAACTCTATGACCCGCACCTGATCAAAAGAATTTCTTATAACCCTTTTATGACCCTTAAATTTCTGCACAGTCACGCATCATCACATTTTTGCTTCATCAATCAAATTCTTGAATATAAACATTGTTTTCTTCCCAATCAAAAAGACATGCCAGCTTCTTTTGCAGGGTAAGCAAAGACAGTCCCCCACACATGGAATTTCCCTCCCACCGCCCATCCTATCAGACACCCCATACACACATACACAAGAACTATGAACTGTATGTCCCACACCTGAACAAAGGATTTTCTTATGACCCACAAACTTCTGCGCAGTCAGGCATCTTCACATTTTTGCTTCATCAATCAAATTCTTGAATATAAACATTGTTTTCTTCCCAATCAAAGACAGTCCCCACACAAGGAAATTTCCCTCCCACCACCCATCCCATCAGACAACCCATACACACATACACAAGAACTATGACTCCATCATCAACCCCCCTTTCCTAAGCTAGCCAATGAAAATAGGAGGGCGGAATTATGTCCTCTTTAAATATTGCTGGGGAGAAAAGTTTCTGTATTTTCAGCAAGAGAAAAAAACACTTACTTTCCTACCGACAATGTCAAGAATTCCGAGAGCTATTCTTAAAAACAGAGAACTACGCTCTGCATTGGAAAAAGAATCGGTGTTACCTGAGCAGCTTGAAGCAGGTGTAAAAAACGAGATCCGTTTTTCCGTCTGCAAAGAAATGGAGGACGAGATGGGAGAATTCGGGATCGAACCTTTGGTGAAAGATGCTTCATCTTCGACAACCCTGGATGCTATGGAAGACTCTGAGACCGCGCTGTCTGTGAAAGATGCTTCAACTTCGACAACCCTGGACACTATGGAAGACTCCGAGACCACGCCTTCCCCGGACATTAGACCGGCCGAAGAAATGGAGGATGCGATGGAGGTGAATAAAAGATGTGCGTTGCCGAGCGGAACATCTTTATTATCCGAAACGCCAATTTCCGTATTCCAAGCTTCAAACCACCCTCTCGAAGCTCCCAAGAAATCATCGTTGTATCTCCCTTAGAAACACTGCATGAAGAATGGTCTTTAGAGGATTCTGGCATGGTTGGGGCGTGGGGATACATCTTCAAATACGAATCCGGTGAGCTCTACCTTTACCAACTGGATCAAGAAGAGATGCTCACACCGTTTTCCAACACATGCAACCTTACCTATAATGACTGGGCAGTGCTGAGATTGGTGGTCCCCTACAATACAGAAATAAGTGGGGAATTGGCTACACCAGATCGGTCAGAGTTGATCAGTTTTCCATCCGATGTTGAAATCGTCAACGGAGAGATGCTTTTTAGCGCAGTTTGGGAAACAAAATCTACCACAAACGGGGCCTGGTCTCTCCGAGCGAGCAGGCGACGTAGCTACGAGGCTTTTTCCCCCGACCTGTTTGTTTTAGAAGTTTTCAACATAGAAAGTGGGATCTTTAGGACCATGCTGGAGATACCTTTTAGTGTATGGCGCCAAAAAATGTTCGAAATTGGGGATCGAATTTCCAACCTGTTCCGGAGTTCGCGCTGCTGGCTTGACATTCTGACTGTGAAAAAAACCCTCTTTTAGACACGCCCTCGAACCTCTACCCTATATATTTAGCGGGTGGAAGCATACCGGCACACATCTCTTCAAGAAGAGGCGAACCTATAGCTGATAGAATGGGTTCGTACTGGGATTTATACTCTCCTATTTCCCCCACACTGACTCCATTTCTCCCACCTTCACCACCACACAGCAAAAAGTCAAGTGTTGATTCAACTCTGATAGAGTTGATTTTAACACTTTTTCAGGGTTTATATAGGTCCACACTCTTCAGAGTTCATTTGACACAGTCGAAATAGTTGAATATTTAACACTGTAACCGAGTTCCTTGTTTAACTCACACGACAGAGTTGAATTAAGGGTGTGTGGACATAATGGTTAACACTGATCCAAAAACAAAACTTAACTGTTTTGTTAGAGTTGATTTAACACCTTCAAGTGTAATCTTCTAGAAAATAAGTCACTTTATGAGTGGTTAATTATAATAAAACAAAACTAAAAACAAATCCATTTTAGATGCTTTATTTTTGCATTTTTAAAATGTTTCCAACATTTTAAATTGTGGTACAATGAACAAACATTCATTAGAAACACCATATGAGTTCTGAATATCAAATGGCTTATTAAATTTAAGCTCTTGGATTTTTACAAGTAGTGTTTCTTCACTATGAAGAACCCTGAAAGCATGAAAATGATCATCAAACCTCTCTGTGAACAATTGTTTAGATAACAAAAGAAAAGTGTTGTCAACTAAAAGTATATCACTTATCTGACAAAACACTGGCATTTCCTCTTGCATTGTACTACAAACAACAAGTCCAGGTCTGTACTCAATACCATCAACTTTAACCCAACTAGTTGAACAAACATCTTCTGATGAAATTATTTGAAGCATTTCATTACTCACCAGATCTTCATCTTTAAGTAAAAAAGGTTTGACTGGCCCATGCTCATTTTGTTTAATAGATATTGTCTCCCAATGATGAGCTATGGCCATCTGATGCTTTTTAGCAAGGGACTTCGTTATATTTTTGAAGTTTTTAAAATAATCTTTAAACATTTTATGTTTGGCTTCAAACCTCATAGACCACATATGTAACAATGGGCCTATTTTCCTAATAGAAGATGGGTAGTGGATCATAAAATGATGCTTAGGTATCAAGTTTCTATGGGGGTATAAGAATTTAAAAAGTCTGTGGTGCTCAACAATCAAATGCTTCAAATATATAGTCATACCTATAGTAAGGATAGGAGAGAAGACAATGTTCATTATTTCCAGTAACAACAGTAGCATGTACCAGTTTTTGTCTCCTCTAGGAATAATGTCCCCAAACAAAAGTGGAATATTTTTAACAAGACACAATGTCTGAACAGAATTTAAACCTATGCCATTTCCAGAACTTTCCAAAATAATTTTTGTGGGACGGTTTTTCCTTTCTAAATAGCCATAATCAAAACTATAAATCCTGGAGAGTAAGTCTTGTTTTGAAATGAGGTTTTGGGTAAGATATTCAAAAAGTAATTTGATCTCATACTGAGCAACACCCTCAAGAAGATCATGCATTATATCAAATGAATGGTTGTCAGAAACATGAAAATATCTCAATGAATTAAGTGAAGATTTTTTTTTCAAACCATATAATGACTTTAGCTGTGGGTTTTCTTCAAGAGCTTTATAATGCATTTCAAAAATCTCCTTTCCTCTAAGTATTACCTTAGGATCATCCTCACTGTAGACAGTCTGACATTCGCTTTTTTCTATTAAACAAATCCGACAAAAGTAATGACTACTAAAAGATTCATTAAAACCAAGGATTGTGTGCATTCCTAAATTATCTCCAGTTATCTGGGAGATGGTGCCATATACTGGCTCATCAGAAAATGGAAGACTAAGGCCGTGGCTTTCTAGATTTTTTAGATCTTTCAGAAATGGCTCCAGAATAGCATCAAAACCATATTTATGGAGATCTTGTACATGAAATAGTGATATCAAATGAATATTCATCAAAACTGAATTAAATTTAGGAGGAAGGTTTCTTAGAACAAAGTAAAGACTGCCAGTTTTGTGAATTCCATGTTTAGAACCCAGGGGGTTGGCTGGTTCAAAATCGTCATAAAATATCTGAATTTGTAAGGCATGTTTTTTGGCTGAAAACAAAGGATGTGTTTTATAATAGCTTCCATCAGAAAAGTCTGCGTAAGTCTCTTTCTCTGATCCACACTCTCGCCTAAGCAAAGCACAAATTTCCTGATTTCTGCACATGAACTGTAATGTTTCCAATATCGGCACATATACAAAAGTTTCCTTCACAGGTACTTGATCATATGTTCCAGTTTTCTGATTTCGTCTGCTGTCATATCTTACTCCTAGTGTTATCTCCACTGGATCGACAACACCCCATTTAATGTTGAAGTATTTGTTTCGTTTCCATTCTGTATTTAAGTTTGTGAATGGATTTTCAAATTGTTCGAATGACTCATTTATCAAAGAAACATTAGGATCAGTCATGGGTAATGCAGAAATAGCAGTCTGCTTTGCTTTTAAGTGAATCTCATTCGTTAGTTCTTCTAAATCCCCCACTATTGAGGACACAAGGCTGCCAGAGATTCCACTGCCTTGTAATTTAGCTACTATAGATTCACACATCTCTTTAGTTTGGTCTTTAGAAATCTGTGAGGGAGTGCTCTCCTGAGGTGAATCAGAAGAACAGGACTGATTTAGGGGGGCTAGCTGGTCATTCAAAGCATCAGCTTGATATGTTACAACTGGATTACAAGAGGATGAACTTGGAATGGCTAAACTCTGCGAAATGTGCTGAATGTTACTGTGAACATTATTAAGATGCTTTCTAAAACCTGTATATGTCAGAAACTGATGCCTGCAGCCTTGCTGAGAACAAACCAATTTGAACTTTGGTCCAGGATAGTAACTATGTTCAACTCTTAAATGTGAAATCAACTGCTGGCTGCTTGGATACAGGTTCTGACATTTAAAGCATCTCAACATTTTTACCTTGACTTACTCACAGGAGAGCACAAGGGGCTGGTTAAGCAGCCTCGCTCTTAAGTCTCTGACTCTGGGTGATTCCTTCATTTTGCCAACATCAATGTTATACACTGTTGTCTGCAGAAACGTATAAAAACTCAATAATGCAACATCATAAGAGACATTGAACACAAAATGTGCTTTGAACAACTCATCAAATGCTCCCAGAGAGCGGTTTGCCTGGCATGGGATGAGGTGTTTATCCATGACTATGTAGAAGCTGTCAATCTTGCTCTTCAGACGCCCAACAGCAAGGAGGTATGGCATCTCCGTTGACCCCGGAGATGTTCCTCTAAACTGCAGCATGACTAAGATTTAAAAAAAAATAATAAAGCAAAAAATAAGAAATGAGACAGAGCTACAACCATTAGAAAAAAAGATTCAACTATCTAACTAAAGAAATTCATGTCTAACCAGACATCTTCAAAGATGCGCAGTTACCACCAGTATTTATACATGTCTATAAAAGCAAAGTGACAAAGTACTGTACATTTTTTTATTTAATTACCTTGTGAAAGACAACGAGTCTCTCAATTGCATCCCATGCACTGATTTTTGGAGACTTCTGTCCTCCAGGTGGTGGTGGAAGGAGATGTAGGAGCAGTAACAAGGAGGCCATTTCTTGGTCATAGGCTGATGACAGATTCATATAATTTAGTGTCAGAACTTTGACAACATAGAGCCAGTGTTGAATACTCTGAACAGTCAACCATGTTCAGATATATTTTGGTACTTACTAGATGCCGCATCCTGGTCATCTCCAGGGACTTCCGCTGACTGCACCAAACTTCTCAACTCAGGTGTTGAAGTGAGACGCTTGGCCTCTTTGATGACATTTTGCTTGAAGAACACATCCCACTTCTGCAGCAGTCTGGAGGAGGTTTCTTCATTAAATAGAAGACTGAAGTCTTGATCAATCTATATTAAAAAGCAGAAATCCAACTATCAACACTGGATATAACCTTGTATTTAAAGATTTTAACTCATTTGAAGACTTACTAATCCTTTTGTGTCCAGAAATCTGGGAAACATTGTCAGAATGTCTGTTCTTCCACTGGCATCTCTAATAAGTTTCTGACGGTGTTCAAAAGTCTCTCTCATCTTCTGAAAGATCAGGGACCTGTCTGTGGTGTGGTTAAGCAACGACATGGCTTCCTGGCAGGCATCACCATTTAGCTGTCTTTCGACGATCACATTTCTCTGACTATTTGGGCCTCCACTTAAAATCTCTTTGGAGCTACTTGGTGCCACAGGAGATCCTCTTCTAGCCTTCCTTTGAATTGTTTTGAGACGCCATGAAATGTATCCTGTGCTGCTTGCTGCATCATAAAAGTGCTCCTAAAAAAGGGAATAAAGAAAAACAATCACAATTTTTATGAAAAAAACACAGTTTTGGGACAAAATGAGACATCACAATTGGTAAAGAAAATTACATAGCCTTTTTTGGTGTATGGATCTTTGAGGGAAGGGAAGAGCGTCACTATTCCGAGGGCATACTGCTCTCTGATCGCTTTAGGAGGAAGGTGCCTAACAGCAGATTTCACATTAGAGACAAATAGTCCATTTTTACAGAGATTATAAAGTGTAAAAACACACCTACCCATGTTCATCAGTCATGTGAGCCACCTGTATGTTTACCATCTGCCTTCTTGTGGCATCACTTAGGGTTTCTGTTGCTTTATACTCCTGCAGAACTTCTTCACCACCAGACTTGCTTTGAAGGACACCTTCAACCCGCTATGAAATGAATGAACAGAAAGGAAATTTATGGTGATATTCGGATTACTCAAATATGTCACAACAGGGTTAAAGAGTTTAGAGGCACACAAAATATATCGTTACCATTTTGGCAGACAATGCATTATTAGCATTCTCAATTTTTTGCATCTTCCATGGGATCTCATCCATTAGTATTGTTGATGTTGATGCATCTGAGCTGAAGCTTGAGTCAGACTCAGAAGCAGACCTTTCAGAGAACTCTGAAGAAGAAAATCCATTTCATCTTTTTGTAAAATCTTTATGATGCTTGACTTAATTTACTTTTATATCTCACCATCTTGGCAGTAGACCTTCAACACAACATTGCCTTGTTTAATGAGGTCACTGAATATTTCTTCATCAACTTCAGCATCTGTTCCATCCTTGTATGCAACTTTGGCATCAGGTGGCAGGCAAAATCTTTCAATGACTGGAAAAGCAAGAAGGCAAAATTTTGATTTGAATGCTCTAATCACCAACTGTGTCATTAAAATATGAATTACATTTTTTTGTGTTGATCATACAATTAGCTTGGAGATTAGAGAACATATTGCAAAACTGAAAATAAAATTGCTTATCCCTTTTACTCACCATAGATTTGTAAAATAAGTGTTGAAAACTAAGTATGTATTTTCCCTAAATACATTTTGTACGGAAGAGGATTAGGGCCACTGGAAAAAAAAAAAAAAAGTTAACTGATTTTTTTTTAATTTTATTTCAGTATAGTATACTTTTTTTTCAGAATTCTGAGATTAAAGTCAGAATTCTGACCTTTTTCTCAGAATTCTGACTTTTTTCTCAGAATTCTGACTTTTTTCTCAGAATTCTGACTTTTTTTCTCAGAATTCTGACTTTTTTCTCAGAATTCTGACTTTTTTTCTCAGAATTCTGACTTTATTCTCAGAATTCTGACCTTTTTCTCAGAATTCTGACTTTTTTCTCAGAATTCTGACTTTTTTCTCAGAATTCTGACTTTTTTCTCAGAATTCTGACTTTATTCTCAGAATTCTGACTTTAATCTCAGAATTCTGAGAATAAAGTCAGAATTCTGAGAATAAAGTCAGAATTCTGACTTTAATCTCAGAATTCTGAGAAAAAAGTCAGAATTCTGAGAAAAAAAGTCAGAATTCTGAGAATAAAAGTCAGAATTCTGAGAATAAAGTCAGAATTCTGAGAATAAAGTCAGAATTCTGACTTTAATCTCAGAATTCTGAGAAAAAAGTCAGAATTCTGAGAAAAAAAGTCAGAATTCTGAGAATAAAAGTCAGAATTCTGAGAATAAAGTCAGAATTCTGAGAATAAAGTCTGACTTTAATCTCAGTATTCTGAGAATAAAGTCAGAATTCTGACTTTAATCTCAGAATTCTGAGATTAAAGTCGGAATTCTGACTTTTCTCCCATGTTAAACTGAAATAAAATTTAAAAATCTGTTTACTTTTTTTTTTTTTTTTCCAGTGGCCCTAATCCTCTTCCGTAATTTTGTCTTTCATTTACCCTGCACAAAGGTTTAACAAGAAACCAACCTTTCTCATGGAATTGATGAAAATCAAACTTCCCTTCAGCTTAATCCAACTTCACATACTTTTGCACCTCACCATAGTTAACCTGGATCAACATTTTACTGAAGCATGGAATAAACCTAAATAAAGCAAAATACAACTTATAAGTAAAGTGTTCCCCTTAGTGTGCAATACATGTCTGCAGTAGGAACATCTCAGCGGCCCCATTGAAGTTCAGGTGAAGTCTAACAGGCAGGAACCTTTACATTCCCACCACCAAAAATCATGATTTTAGATGGCAAAAAATCATCAAACTTTTATCTTTAATGATTATATGGTCCAATATGATTATTACTTTTAAGTGTTACCGTTACAGTACTTTTAATTGTAAATACAACGGTTGCTAGCTAACAACCCACACGTGGGCTGCTAGCTAGCACTTTGTGTAAGGTTGTTGTAAAATGGACACATTTAGCTGCCATTCAATGAAGTATTAATTATGCAAAAAAGTCACATCAACTTATTCTATCAATTTAATAGTGCCTGGTCAAAGATTTAGAAAGTTGCTGTTACCGTGTAGTCGAGCAGGAGACGGAGAAAATGGAGCCGTGTTCAGACTGCACTCAAACGAAGACAGTGAAGAAGGGGGCGGAGCTTATTTTTCTCCCAGCAGAGTAGATTCAACACGGGCCCTATCAACTCCTGGAAATAACTTGAACATTGAGCACCATTTAAATCTCTAAGTGTTAAAACAACACTTAGTGAGTTAAATTCAACTCTAAAACATTTTACTCAAAAATGTTAACTCTTTAATTTTTGCTGTGTACCATCCATCGCCGGTGCTTTTTCCAGACGAAGCTAATCATCCACCACCACCAGCGCCTTTTCCAACCAGCACACATCTCTTCAAGAAGGGACAAACCTAGGATCAAATTTCCAACCTGTTCCGGAGTTCGCGCTGCTGGCTTGACATTCTGACTGTGAAAAAAAAAACAAACCCTCTTTTAGACACGCCCTCCATCCTCCACCCTATATATTTAGCGGGAGGAAGCATACCAGCACACATCCCTTCAAGAAGAGGCGAACCTACAGCTGATAGAATGGGGTCGTACTGGGATTTATACTCTCCTATTTCCCCCACACTGACTCCATTTCTCCCGCCTTCACCACCCTACCGTCCATCGCCGGTGCTTTTTCCAGACGAAGCTAATCATCCACCATCACCAGCGCCTTTTCCAAGCGAGACTAATGAAGTAAATAACCTGAAGGAGGAAAAGAAATTGCTTCCCGCTCTTTCAGAGTCTGATGAAGACAGGGCGGCGGGAGCCTCACCTGATTCGTCCGAAGACGATCAAACCAACCTCGTCGTGCATCCGGCGCAGACTCCACCGATTATAAACGGGGAGGTGGATGAGGATTGGATCTTTTCCTCACACATTGCTATAGTAAAAACAGCCGTGCTTCATTTGCTTAACAACGTCGCTTTGGAATATAATCGAGAGACTTGTTACGGATGTCAAACAGACCACCCGAGTCAACTACAGCATCAATGTCTCGAAGCATTGAAAGAAGAATTCTATCAGACTAACTTTATCACGCTTCAACGCCGACTCAAAACACCGCAACTCATTCCAGCCATTCAACATCTGATGAAAGAACGCAGACAAGAAGCGGAGGATTTCAGGGTGAAGATAATTGTGGAGACTCTTTTGTACGAACTCAGATCTTCGTTCGGACTGTGTGCCGCTGTTGAAGAAGTGTATCGGAACAACAGAGAAATTTACAAAATCAGACAACTCTGTACTATTTCAAACATCTTTGGTCGCACTGAATGAATGATGTGCTATTTAGTTGCTTGTTTATCTTCTGTATCACTCGGAAGTGATTGAAAAAAAAAAGAAAGAAAAAAGATAAAAAAAAAAAATAACAAACGTTTTTTGTTTTTCATTCCTATTTAGTTTTTTTTTTACATTTCAAGTTTTTACATTTTGTAGTTTATAGATGTGATTTGAAACGTTTTGTTTTTACATTTTAAAAGTTTTGTTTTTACATTTTCTAGTTTGTAGATGTCATTTGAAAAGTTACATTATGAAGAATTTTTCTGGGTTTTGTGTTTTTGTGTTTTGTTGTTTTACTCGTTTAACCGATGTAAATAAAGGAGAAAAGAATAAAAAAAGTCTGGTTATTTTTTGAGTGCTGATGTAAGGAATAGGATGTCTGACCGTGAAGCTATAAGAAAAGTCTACTATAACCCTTCCAATCCTGGAAGTTTTGGGGGAAAAGATAGGTTAAGGAGAGCTTTGCAGAATGAAACTGGGGAAAATATTAAGGTAGCTGAGGTTGAAGATTTTTTGTCGGAGCAAGACGCTTACACTCTCCACAAACCGGCAAGACTTCATTTTCCAAGGAACAGAGTTTTTGTCTCGGGGCCGATGAAACAATTTCAGGCAGATCTTTGTGACATGCAATCTTTAGCCGACCAAAATGACGGATACAATTATTTATTAACGGTAATTGATTTGTTTTCCAAAAAGGCTTTTGTCCGACCTCTTAAAAAAAAGACTGCCTCAGAAGTAGTAAGGGCGATTGATTCGGTGTTTAAAGACAGTAAAATTCCTAAGAAGATTCAAACCGATGCAGGGAAAGAATTCTTTAACAAAGACTTTAAGGCCTTAATGAAAAAATATGGAATTATCCATTTTGCGACAGCCAGCGATGTGAAGGCCTCCGTCATAGAGCAATTTAATCGTACCCTCAAATCGAGAATGTGGTGATATTTCACCGCTAATAACACACGGAGATATCTGGATGTGCTTCAAGATCCTGTAAAAAGTTATAATGACTCCTTTCATTCCAGCATCAAAATGTCCCCTATGGAGGTTTCCTTTGAAAATAAAGACCAAGTCCTGAGGAATCTTTATGGTCTGAAGGTGGGGAGAGAAAGAAAGAAGGCGGCAAAGAGGAAATTTAAGAAGGGCGACCCGGTTAGAATTTCAAAGTTAAGAGGGGTGTTTGATAAGAAATACGAACAAAGCTTTACGGATGAAATCTTCACCATATCCGAATGCGTCGATCGTTCTCCTCCTGTGTATAAATTAACGGACTATGATGGAGAGCAGATCGAGGGGTCTTTTTACGAAGAAGAAATACAGAGAGTCAAATTACCCAAAGACAAGGTATACCATGTGGAGAAGATATTAAAACGACGTACGCTCAGAGGTCAAAAACAAGTGTTTGTAAAATGGAAGAACTGGCCTGAGAAATTTAACAGTTGGGTCAGAGCGGCAGACTTGAGCGAAGTATAAAAAACCCCTGCACTGAACCCACCTCCGACACTTTACCATGGATCCGGTGAGTGATGACGACGGATTCTATATTACATTACCGTCTAACAGCAGCGTTGACGTATTTAAAAATAATACCGGATGTAGTTTCCACGTAAATTTGGGGCAGCATATAAATTTAGAAGGTAGATGGCAGGTTGCCTTGGTAGAGATTTCATATCCCCACACGTGGTTAAACGTCCTTGCAGAATCGGCCTATTTTGAATGGCGGGAAGCTGGACGGGAGCAGTTCTTCCGGCAGAATATAACGCACGGATATTACGATGAAATGACACAATTCAAAGCGGAGATTGAAAACCATCTGAGAAAAATGGAAAGTGATATATATTTAAAGTTAAATATGATCGAAAAAAGGATATTTTGTCAAGCAGGGGGTCGGCACAATATACGTTTTTATCCTCCTATAGCTTACATGCTGGGGGCAGAGCCGGGGAAATCGATTTTGGCTAGTAAAAGAACCCTTCCTCACCCTTTTGATCTAAAAGGCGGTATGGATCTTCTGTATTGCTACAGCGATGTAGTCGCTCCATAGGTGGTGGGCGACGCTTATGCCCCTCTCTTACGTACCGTGAAAATAGAAGGCACATACGGCGATATTATCACACAACATTTCAAACCCGTTTCAAAAAATCATATTGAAAATATCCACGTAGAAATAAAATCCGATCAAAATGTACCGATTAATTTCAGCTACGGAAAGACTGTCGTTAAACTACATTTTAGACCAGTCTCTTCGAAGCATATGAGGAGAAGAGACATACAATAAAACGTGTATTTTACACAGATCATTCAAGATATATATTTCTGGGAACAACGTTCATATCGTCACTTCACCATAGACTCCCCTTCTGAACTATTTTACCCCGCTGTATCGGAGAGAAGCAAATAAATAAAAAATCACACCATGGCGCGTATCGGATTGAATACGGATCCCCATAGGCTTATACATTATTACCAAAATCAGGTCGGAGGCGATTTAGGAGGATTCAGCGGCGCCCCCGTGTTATACGGGCGTGGGATCGGACCCATATTTTCAAGATTATTCAGATTTGTCTCACCCCTATTTAAAAGTGGATTTTCTATGGCTAAACCTCATCTTAAAAGAGCGGCGAGCGGCATAGCCTCAGACATGATCGGAAAAGCTATGAAGAAGATATCCGGAAATGAACAGGACGGTTCAGGGCTGATGCTTTTATCGCGACGAAACAAAAAGCGTCCACCCGGAGAACGTGTTTGGAACTTTCAAAAACACAAGAGCGTTAAAAGAAAGAAATCATTAGGAAGAAGCAAGGCTAAGAGCAAGAAATCTGTCAGGAGAGGAGATATTTTTCAGTGAGGAGGAGAAGACATGGCTCTACTGCATAAAAAGTCCCCGGAATGCAGTTTGACGGAACTGGACTTATTTTCCGCTCCGATGATGCAACTGTCTATAGAAGATCGATTTTTTTATCTGCGGCGAAGGCGATAAATATTTGGATCTAAACGACACACTGATCCACCTACGTCTCAAAATTACTAACGTGGATGGTAGCGACCTAGCGCCGGACGCTCCCGTCGGATTAATTAATTATCCTTTATATACCATTTTTAGTCAGTGCGATGTGACCTTGGGAGATAGACTTATTTCCCAATCCAGCGCTACTCACCCGTACCGATGTATAATTGAAACATTGCTCAACTATTCAGAAGATACATTAAAGAGTAAATTCAGCGCAGGTCTTTTTTTTAAAGATACGGCCGGTGCTATTGATTCAATCGTTACCACCAACGGACCAAACCACGGATTGAATCGGAGAGCCGCTTTTACGGCAGAATCTAAAGAGGTTCATCTGATAGGAGCTCTACACGGGGATATATTTTTCTGCGAAAGACTCCTTCTGAATTCTGTTGATATGAGAATTAAATTAACACGAGCCAGCGATGCGTTTTGTTTAATGGGGGCTCGCGATTCTACTTTTCGACTAAAGATATTAGGGGCTTGTCTTTTTGTGAAAAAGGTCTCAGTCTCTCCCGCCATACGCTTAGGTCACACTTCGGCGTTGATGCGCGGTAATGCGCTTTATCCGTTGTCGAGAGTTAATGTGAAGACGTTTTCTATCCCAGAAAATTCAAGAATTTGCAACCAAGAGAATCTATTTCTGGGGGCCATACCTAAATATGTGGTTCTAGGCTTAGTACACCAAGAGGCCTTTACTGGGAGGAGAGATTTATCCCCCTTTCACTTCAGGCACATGAATTTAGAGTTTCTGGCGCTTTGCAGAGATGGAAAATAGATCCCTGCTAAAGCTTTTCAGCCCCAGTTCAATGGCGGGAACTCTGCGAGGGAATTTTACAGCATGATTACCTCCACGGGTCGTCATTTGAAAGATCATCCACTCGCCATCACTCGACGGGACTTTGATAACGGATACACACTTTTCGTTTTTAATCTTAATCATGGAGGAGATAT